GCGAATGTTCTCGATCGCACCGTAAGAGAATCTTCTAGAACTCAACACAATATAAAACGACGCGACGTAATAATAACATCAATCAGTTAGTTAGCTAGTCGTCAGTTAATCGGTTAAGTAGTTAAGTACACGTAGTGCATTAATATAATTTTCATATAAATTTTCTTAGTGTTTTAAACAATAAACCGTCTACATTTTTTCTGTTATATAAATTAGTGTTTTTATTTTTTTTAAATCAATAAGTGAAGCACTAAATTCTCTAACCATAATTATATAAAATAAAATCGAGTGTCTTACGTTAAAAGAATCATCTTTTTTATGATCAAGAACTCTAAGTACTTTAGTACTTTAGTACTTTAACTAAGTTAAGACTTAGTTAAAAAAAAAAAAAATTGTGAGGTTGTATTTTGTACAATTGAAGGCATTTAGTAAAAAAGTAATATAAATAATTATTGAATCACTTTATTTTTGATGTCAGGTTTTTTTTTTTGTTTTTCAATCCGAAGATTGGTTTTTAACAAATGTTTTACATTAAATGGCTCCTCCATTTTTCTCTATCATTCGCCAAAATCTTAAGCTCCCTGTAGGAAGTGACTCCTACAACCTACATTATTTGGCTAATGTACCTCGTCTTAGGTCTTCCTCTTAATTTTGTACCTTCTATCATTACTTTAATTATTAAACTATGCAATTCATCTCCATACCTCAACGAGTGTCCTATCATTTGCCATCTCCTTCTCTTTATAATATCAATCAGTGTTCGTTTTTCATCTATTGTCCTCAGGATATCTTCATTTGATCTTTTATCAGTCCAGCTTATTCTCTGCATCTTTCTCCAACACCTCATCTCCAAAGCTTTTAACATATATTTTTCTTTCTTATTAATTGTCCAGATTTCACTTCCGTATAATACCACACTCCAGACGTATGTTTTTATGAGCCGTTTCTTCGTTACTATGTTCATATTTTTTTATGTTAGTATTTTTCTCTTTTTAAGGAATGTATTCTTTGCTTGACCTATCCTGCTCCTGATTTCCTTGGATGATTTCTCGTCGTCTGTTATAATGCTGCCTAAGTATTTGAAATAGTCTACTTGGATAATTATATGTCAGGTACCCTACATTTACTCAAACCGATGTCGTACGTAAGTAGTTCCCCGACGTAGACAAAAAGTAGTACACAAATTAACTAACATTTTTGACGGAAAGTTTTACGGCTAGCTCAAAAGTAGCAGACTGAAGGGTGGCTTCTCATCAGCCACCAGCACAACTACCTTTTTACTATACCTACTAAAGGACATTTAAGCCTATAAACTAGCCAGCACGCATACTAATTCTTAAGATCGACTAGAGGACTAGCAGTTCAACCTCGACTCTTGCTGCACACACACACGCGCAATTTTAACAACATGGTGAATATAAAGTATTTACACTCAAGTGCAAGTTTTAAAATCGTTTTTTTATTTACGAAACGTAATTAATACTGGGTTTACACGTGCATGTTTGTAGTGGCGCATGTGTCAACTAGCGTGCCAATAAAAATGAACATGCACGTGTAAACATGTACTGGCGTGCAAATGAAATGATTGCATGCATAGAAAAATTAGATAATTAGATAATTCCTACTTTGGTCGCGCTAGTGACTATTTTAATATCAGTTTTATAATAATTTTTACTTATTGTTTGCGTACTATTGTTTGTCGCACCTATTCAAAATGTCAAAAAAATAATGCATCTCTCATTACTGTATTATGCTCCATAATGTTGTCTTCTAGCAATCCACTTTCTTATCTAGACTAACCTTTACTTTTTTTTACTCTTTTTTTCTAAATCCAGTTTGATATCTTTTATTAAAAATTTTAATACTATTTACATGCATGACGAAAATGAAATTCCTTTTTAGCCGACATATTAATTAAATTAAAAATTTAAATAAAAATTGAAACATGGAACTACAATAGTCATACAAATTTATAACAAACGTAATGAAATGGCGAGAGTTAGGTGCGAAGTTGTGTACAGAGTTACTGACGATTCATGTTTACTGGCGTACATGATGGCGCCACTACAAACATGCACGATTTAACCCAGCATAACACAAAGTCAAATTATAACAATATAAATTACAAAATACAAATTTACTCGCACCAAACGTCCTGACCCGTAAATCAACGTTTTTTAGTCAAAACGTCAATCCCCTATATTTTTCATGTTTCTCTTTATATATTCTTTTTCTACCATAATTAATTTGCTCACCTTGCGCATTCCTTTTATATGACATTATTATATTGCTTAAGAATTCAAAAATTTCTTACTACTGTTATAAAACATATTATACTAAAATCGACGTTATTCAATACTTTCTCAGCTATTTACTACACTCCTCTATGTAACAAAAAAATATGCCCTCATATTTTTAGAAAATATAACTTTGGTTATTTACAACACTAAAGAAAGGTTAATATATTTTTATGTCAGTTTCCTTTTAGATATGATCACATCATTTAAATATATTTTTTTTTTAATCGACTTCCTCAGTTATTTACTACACTGGCTACCCAGTCTTTTTATCAGAACTCTTAGTCGGTACTCAGTTTTTAAAATAATGTCAGTTGAGCTTAAATTATTAAAGACAAAAAGCTCATTCAGCTAGTTTTCTAAATTCAGGCAGATATTACTCGATTAAAAGTTTTATATAAAGAAGATACCAAAGAAGACTTTTACAAAGAGTACTTGAAAAAAGAAGAAATTTTTAATCACAATGTCAGTTTTCACGCAAAACAAAGTACAAATTCTAAATATTCTAGTATACTTCATTTTTTTTCGACGGGGTCCCTAAAGAATATGCAAAAACAATCCACAGGAAACCATATTGCGAAATCTATCCCTTATATTTTTATATTTGTGTGTAAGTCATTAAATGTTTTTGAAATTTTTTTTTTAGTTTTTTAGAATTTATTAAAATCCTTATTTCAGCATTAATGGTTTATTCCTGGCTTATACTTATTAGCTATTTTGTGGAATTAAGATGTTCAGATGAATGTATGTGTAATGAAAAATGTCAAAATCCTTGCAATGGATAATAGAAAAAAATAGAACACCAAGGTTACAACGATAAATTCCAATTAAACTTCAAACTATTATCATAACATATGTTGTTTATATTAATAATCTTAATAAATTGATATTAGTTAATAATCTAGATATTCAGTAATTTATATTTTATAAATTTTCTTGCAACTATTCAACACTATTTAAAGTTTCATTACCAGTTTAATAGTTTATTATGTTGTATTTCGTCGGTATAGTGTCAGAGTATTTTCAATACTATTACTTTCGTCTTATTTAAATTATTTATAACATAACTTATTTTATTCAACGACCAATTTTTTATCGCCAATTGTCATCATAGCCAACCAACTCCGAATCACTTGGATATACCTACTAACCAATTGTACTAGGATTTAGGTCAGACGTATTGTAACATTACATATAACTTATATTTACTGAATATCCAAAATATTATTTTACTTTGTCGTTGACATAAAACAATAGTCTAATTTTATTTAATAATCTATCCCCTGTAACTAAGGTACACGATTGCTTGTGTCTCCTTCAGGCAATTAAAACTCATTTAAGGAGATAGGGACGATATTTGGGCAGACGTCGGGTAGCTTCCGATTCTTGGTTTTGACCAAGATCCTGAAGTATTAAACGAGCACCTAATATATGGTGGAGGCGCCGGTCTTTGTATTTTAATCGAGTTCCGAGATATACTTTCTATTTATTAAGGCACTCATATACGAAGTCGATTCCCCTAAAGTGTACAAGAGTTACAGCTAGATTATTTAAGTAAAATTTTTTATTATTAATATTATAATTTTTTCTGGAATGTCAATTACTGTTTGGGCGTAATAATAATTTCTACTATTTTGTTTTTTTTTTTATTTTTTTTTATTTTGTATAAGTGTATAATTTATAAAAATATGCAAAATTTTATCGAACTGTTATCATATTCGGGAGATATGGAAACAGATATAGATAAATATCTTAAATATTTCGATCGCGTAGCAAAAGCAAATGAATGGGATGATAATAATAAACTTTCAATGTTGCCCTGATATTTACAGGATAATGCACTTAAAATATTTGAATTTATAGAATATCGAACGACAAATTTAACTTGGGAAGATGATAAACTGTCATTAATTAATTTTAACTCTTACAATAATCTAAATTTATTAAGAAAAAATTTAATTATGATGAAAATGACGGAAAGTGAATCGATTAAAAAAATTTTTAGTAAGAGTAGTAGCAGAATGTTGTAGGTTTGACGGTATAATGTCTGAAAAACATAGAGTATTTTTTTAAGGGACTACCAGTTAAAATAATTAATACATTTAAGTCATTAGATAATAGTACAATAGATAAATTAATAGAAAATATTTTAAGAATTGAGAAAAATACAAATTTGATAAATGACGATAGCGATGTAGGCATTTTGAAAATGGAATTAGATTCTCTTTTAAAAAAACATAATGCTAAATTTAATGATTATGGAAATGTAAATTATGTAGGTAACCAAAGTTTAATGACATATCCAAACCATAATCAGCGTAGAGTAATGAATTATAGAACTAATAAATATAGAAAGAACAAATTAAATAACAATTTTAGAAATAATGTAAATAAGAACTATAACAATAAAAATTATAGAGGAAATTTTTATAGGGTTAACAACATGAATCGGCACTTTTATCATAATAACCGTCGCGTTAACTATGGTTATATACGGAAATCACCACATTATCTTCAAAATAATCCTAATTTAGAGAATTCACCCCATCAGTTAGCCATTCAACATTACGTTCCACCTACTATTTCTTACAATTTTTCTCTTCAACCACCATCAGTATGTAATAGCGCGCACAATTCTAATCAATTAAAAGTGAATAACATTGACCCCCACCTTTAATTAATGAAAATGTCAATATTAATGATATGGTAACTAGTTATGAATTAAACAATCAATTCTTGAATTCAATTAAAACTAACGATTCTCCACTAATAATGGGCAAAGTAAATAAAAAAGATATTATTTTCGTGGTTGATACAGGAGCGAGTACAAGTATTATAAATAAGAATTTTTTACCCAGTGATCATATTATTTATCCACTTAAGGTTTAAACTTAGAGGTTTATTAATGAAATATAGTACAATTTTTTCTAAACATAAATATGATTTAGGCTCGTGTAAAATTGCTCCGATAGAACTTCAGTTATCAAGTAATAAAATAATAAATTTACCTAATTTTAAGTTAAGCCGCGTAGAGCGTAATGAAATCGAATAACAGACAGAGGAACTTTTAAAAGCTGGTATTGTAGAGGAATCTTCAAGTCCTTATTCTAATCCTGTGTTTTTAGTCGCTAAAAATCAAGGACAATGCAGCAAAAGTCAAGAGGGATCAAAAGAATACAGAATGGTAATAGACTTTCGAAAACTTAATGAAATAATTTATCGTGAAAGCTTCCCTTTACCAATAATACAAAATTTATATGATTGTTTAGCTGGAAATCAATATTTTAGTTCGTNATATGATTGTTTAGCAGGAAATCAATATTTTAGTTCTTTAGATGCTACTTCAGGTTTCCATCAAATAGAACTTTCTGAAAATTCTAAAGCTCTTACAGCTTATTCAACTGAAAATTATCATGTTCAGTTTACTCGTTTACCTTTTGGGTTATCTAATGCACCCCAATTTTATCAAGCTGCTATGTGTAAAGTCATGGCTGGCTTAAATTATAGACACAATATATGTTATTTAGACGATTGCGTTGCATTTGGCAAATCATTCGAGTCTCATTTACATTCACTAGAATTAATATTTCAACGATTTTTAAAGTATAACTTAAAACTAAAACCATCTAAGTGTAGATTTGGCTATCAAGAATTAAAAGTATTAAGCAACATTATTGATGCGAAGGAAATAAGACCCACTCAACAGGGAATAGAAACTATACAAAAATTCCCACAACCTAAAAAGATTATACAACTTCGCAGTTTTTTAGATCTAGCTAATTATTTTAGACGTTATATTCCAAAATTTAGTAACATCGCAAAACCTTTAACAGAACTAACTAGAGGTAAATTCAATAGCAAACGTTCACCAATCAAGTGGGAAAACACACATGAACGTGCTTTTCTTGAACTGAAAAGTAAATTAACTAGTCAGCCAGTATTAGCTCACTATGATGAAAATGCAGAAACTATAATTGTAACTGACGGATCTAAATTGGGTTTAGGTGCTATCCTCCAGCAGCGTAATCAAAACAATGAAATTCATCCAGTAGCATTCTCATCCAAAAAACTGACTAAAGCCGAAGGCCGATATAGCGCAATGGATTTAGAGTGTCTAGCAATTTTTCACGCATTAACTGTTTTTCGTCCTTATGTTCATGGAAAGTACTTCGAAATTTGGACTGATCATAAAAACTTAACAAGCTTATTAAATATTAAAACTGATTCACGTATAGTTAATAAACTTAAAGTTAAACTAACAGGTTTTGATTATTCTATAAAATATAAAGAAGGAATTTTTAATAAAGCTGCAGATTGTCTTAGTAGAATAATAGACGAACCACCAAAACTTTCTGAATTTACAGAGCTTTCAAAAATAGGCGTACATACAATATTACAACATCCCAACGTAAATTTAGTACAATCAATTAATATCCAATTAGAACAAGCTTCGGATAATTATTTACAAAATATCATAACTGCAATTAAAAATCCAAATGAAAGCAATACTACATGGCTTAATAAATCAAAAAATTATATTATCAAGGATAACAATGTATTATACTACAAAAGTAATTTTAAAGATTCTTCTAAGTTTGTGCTCGCGTTACCTAGCAAATTTAAAAATATTGTAATTCACGAAAATCATTATTCGGTGCTAGGTGGACACCAAGGTCTTACTAAAACTTATTTTAAAATAAGGTCACGGTATTATTGGCCTAAAATGCGTAAAGAAATAAAAACGTATGTTCTTTCATGTTTAGATTGTCAAAAACGTAAGCCTTTTAAACAACCCAAACCGCCTAAAATAGGAATGTACCCACTAGAAAAAGGGGAAATTATGCAAGAAATATATTTGGACTATATTGGGCCATTTAGTAATTCAAAATCTAATAAATATATTCTAGTAGCAACAGACAGAATAAGTAAGTTTTGCGTAGCAAAAGCGTACGCAAATGCAAATGCGCGTAGTACGGTTAAATTTCTTTTAGATCTTATATTACGTTTTGGATGTATGCGTACTATAAGAAGCGACAATGGAACACATTTCACAGGTAAAACGGTTAAACAACTATTAGAATCATTAAATGTAGATCAGAAATTCGGCGTACCCTATCATCCAACTTCTCAGGGCCAAGTAGAGCGTCAAAACCAAACTCTGGTTGATATGATCTCTAATTATGTTAAAGATAATGAAAAATTGTGGTCAGATTATCTACCATATATGGTATTTGCTTACAACAGTTCTATTCATAAAGTTACAGGTTATTCACCATTCTACTTAGTCCATGGGTTCGAGCCCAAAAGCGTCTTTGAATTAGCTTTAATACCACCAGAAGATCAAAACATACTCTCAGAGATTTCAAAAATCAAGAAAATAAGAAAATTAGTTCCTGAATTGCTTAAACAAGCGTCTGAACAAGTGAAACAAAAGCATCCTTTGTCGAACACCACACAATATAATATTGGTGATAAAATTTTAGTCAAAAACGAAACATCTAATACTAAATTTCGAGATCGTTACAATGGACCATATGAAATTATAAAAGATTATCCACCTTTTACATACATTGTTAGAATACCAAAAAATAACAGATTAGAAAATTTACCGGTCCATATTGACCAAATAAAACCATTTCACAGCAGTCAGGGGAATAAAATAACTTTACAATTTTATTTAAATTTAAGCCACATTTTTTACTATTTTTATTTTGTTTCATATTAATTTTTTTTTGGATATTGATGGCTTACTCATTTATAATTGTCAATATAAATAATTTTTATTCTCAATTAATTTTATTATATATAACTACTTTCTTAATTAGACGTGGTCTTGAATAATTATTATATTAATTATTGAATTTATATTTTTACTTTTGTCAGTCATCGGATAAAGGATCAAAGATAAATGCTGACTAGCGCGACAATAATTTTGTCAACTATTTATGTATTAATAATACACATCAAAATATCATATGCAATGCATCTTGTATAGTAGATGGTTAAAAGTGTTTAAATTAATTATAAATGTTTTTAAAAAATTTTAACCTTTATCGTTTTTAAACAAAAATTATAGTTACAAGAGGTTACAATATTAAAGAATCACAATTATTTCTAAAATGAGAATTATGGCTTAAATGATATACTTTACTGCTTACAACTTTCTATTAATACTAATTTTACATTTAATTATAGCGTAATAAAAATCTTTAACTAGCTTGCCATTTATGCTTTATTAATACACTATTATTTTGGAATGCTATAATTCGTACGCATATTATAAAAATATTTTTACTAAATACTGATTATTCTCAGTCCAATGATCTTTATTATGTTAACATATGAAACTCTAGTTTGGTCGCTAATAACACCTAACGTTCTTGTTGATGAAGCGATTGGCCACCGCGACATTACAAAAACGTGACCCTGACATTCATTTTATCTTACGTGACGACGTTTGATGATGATAAATATCTTACATAGTATTACAATTAAGTGGTATTACTTATTAAAATCAATTATATAGATAGAGGAATTCGAGGTGGCAGTTGGGCACTTGATGAATTATTTAGGAGTGCTAATAGGCAGGGACTTAATGTACAGACAACATATAGAGAAAGCTGTGGAAAAGGCTTCAAGTATGGCGTCTGCTTTGCAGAGGCTTATGCCTAACGTGGGGGGGCCTAAACAAAGCCGAAGAATGCTGTTGAATACGGTAGTAAATTCTGTCTTGCTGTATGGGGTACCAATATGGGCAAACACACTTCAATACAGGAAGAAGATTGTAGAATTATTAAGGAGGGTGCAGAGAAGGATGCTTATGAGGTGCATTTGTGCATATCGCACTATGAGCTACACGGCGGTGAATATCTTGGCTAGTGTGCCACCAATCGAGTTGCTGGCGGTAGAGCGGGCGGTGTCTTACGAGCTCAGTAGGAAAAACCTCAGCATTGAGGAATTTTGGTGTGGTAGGTGCCAGGCTAAAATGACAACAATCAGCAATTGGAAGATTCACATAGAAGAATCAGGTACGGGGCTTTGGACTCGGAGCCTTATAACTGAAGTGGAGAGATGGGTCACTCGTGGCCATGGGCAAATTGATTTTCATTTTTCTCAGCTGTTATCGGGTCATGGGTGCTTCGGTGATTACTTATGCACTATAAAAAAGGAGACAGACAGCAGGTGCTGGAGTTGCACGTCTGGTATGGATAGTGCGGAACACACCATATTCCACTGTAAAGCATAGGACCAACAGAGGGTGGAGTTGGAATTGGCAATTGGGGGTAAAAGCGTAACTACAATTATACCAAAAATGTTGGAGGACTCAGAATCGTGGAATTCGGTGCAGCGGTTCGCCAACATAGTGATGGCGGCCAAGGAAGAAGAGTAGCGCAATAGATGAGCTTTGATGGATGGAGGAGGGGCGTCGGGATCTGAGATCCGGCTTAATCAAGTAATAGTGGGGAACGACGGGATCTGAGATCCGGTTCCGAATATTGGAAACGGAAATCAACGAATTACTTAACAAAGACTTGCAGTTGTAAATTATTGTACATAAATTGTATGTTGTTTAATTGTAGATGTAGATGTTAAGAGAATTTATTGTTATATATGCAACGTCGTTGTACATATTATTGTTGATTAACTTGTTGTAATGTTCCATACTCTACAAAATTTAGTGTATGAAATATGCTGTAACGATAAGTTTATTTGAATAAACGGCACCGGGTGGCCCGGGGGGAAGTAATGCTTAACGACTAGTTCCCCCAGGGTCATCTATGGGCGCACATGCCTCTGAAAAAAAATAAAGGTTATTATTACAAATCGAAAAATTGCTGGAACAGTCATGTGCTCAATTCATTCACATGGACGTCTTTGGGCACTTGGATATTATAATAAAAAGATGTGAATACAAAGACAATAAAGAAGAAAGAAGATTATTTTTTTTATTTTATTATGTATTTATATAGATTGTCAATTTTGTTGTATTAAGATTCTTGTCTTGAACAGATTAACAATATAGGACATTATTTCTTTAATTAATATAATTCATATGTTTGGATAGAATATTTGATGACTTTGTATAACACTCAATGCCATCCCACTTGTTGTTTCTAAATAATTTTTGAACATAGTTCTTGAATTAAAATTTAGAATACCAGACTTCGGACTGTCTACTAAAAGCCTAACGATTGTTTGATGGCTTTTAATAGGTGTGGTTACAATGAGTGTCAACAAATTTTTCGGCATCTGAAAATACAAATTACATGAATAATGAATTAGTTTTGAAACTTCTCTAATACGTATATTCTCACTTATTTTTTGCACCTGATTGAGTATAATAATGTCGGATTCTTCATTCGCAATAATAGTTACATTATAATAATCATTTACATATTGGGGTTCAAAATAAAATTATAAAGGAGTTAACCTCTCTATAAATTTAAAACAAACTTAATTTTTTTATACTTGATAGACATTTTTTGCATAGAGTTAAAAATTTTTTTTTTTTTTTATAGAAAATATACAATCTGTACATAATATTCGTACAATAAGCTTATTGTATGACTTAAAAATTTATTTACAATTCACAGTTAAATATGGTTGGAGAAACCATCCAGTGAAAATTTTATAATTTTTATAAATATTATACTAAATTTCTGCAATTATAATAATTATAATTATTATTATAGTATAATGTCTATAAGGTAAAAGATAATTATCTTATTACTTTTTCATATTTTATTACTTGATTATGATAGTTATTATAATATAATAACTATTAATATATTACTTTATACTAATTACCTTGTATTTAAAATTCTAGTTGTGATACTTTTTCAAATAAAGTTGTTGAATGGAATAGGTTATGTAATTAAAAGATTAAGAAATTATTGTAATATAATAGTATTTAATAAAAAATGTTAAAACATATAATATAAGAGATGTACAACGGCAACGGGTCACTTTACTCGATAGACGGTGAAACTACGACTAAACGGTAAACATGTATACAATAGGCTGCATTGAGTAAAACAACATAATCGTAAAAGGAATGTGTCCCTTTGACCTTGTACTATACTAACATAAGTAAAAATACATAAAACTGTTATCTTAAATAATATTACTGTACCCAGTGTGTTGTTTAATAATATCAACAAAAGTAGTAAATAATATTTTATTTATACCCATTGTATATAATTTCCTTTTTTTAATTCATCTCTGTAAGCATCGGGGTTAATGATTACACTATTTTTGTCGAAGTTGTACAAATCTGTTGGTGTTTCATTCACTTCTAAATCATCTAAAATTTCAATCACTTGATTGCAATACAACACTCTAAAATTTGAATTACTTTGTGGAGCTTTTATTGCCAAACAAATATCTATTACAAAATTACTCAACCAACTATTACCATTTAGACAGGAAAACTCATCAATATCTAATTTTCGTAAAGTACNTCAACCAACTTTTACCATTTAGACAGGAAAACTCATCAATATCTAATGTTCGTAAAGTGCTCAAGGTATTTTCAGGTATAACATGGTAATAAGTTCCAACAGTATAGTTCAATCGTTTTATTCTACGTCCAAACAAATGATTAACTCTATTTTTGTGATCAACCTGTTTATAGTCACTCAAATCTTTTGGAAGTTTGTTTTTATATAATTCTTTATGTAAAGAATTATTTATATTGATACTAATATGATCTGGAGTTTTATAACTACCTGGAATTGGTATTGAATTTTTAGAATATAGTTCTAACTCCCTACTAAATTCTTTTGATGATATTTTACTAACATCTTTTTCATTCAGTTTACTAAATGGACTCTGATTTTTTTTAATGTTCTCAAAATTATGGTCACTTTTATTTATTTTAATACTATCTTTTTTTTTAGTTTTAGGTGTATCAGTAATTTTAATTAATTAANAGTAATTTCAATTAATTCAATTTCTGGATTAAATAGACTAAATTCTGTTTCCTTATTAAATTTATTTAGCAATATTGCCCTATCTATATTTTGTTTCTCTGTTATAGGTGAATTATCAGATTTGTTCAACCTTTTTCTCTCCGCGGACTTCGAAATTGATTGGAATGGGTGATGGCCTATTGGCTTAAGATGCTTATGACGTTTAGGAGTTCTTCCCCATTTTTCTTCAGCATCTAAGAAAGCATCATCAGCTTTGCGCTTATCAGGAATTCGATTTTTTATAAGTCCTTCGTTTGTTTTATCATTAAATTCAAGTATCCTCTTTGCAGAAATTATTAATGGTTTAGTAGCTCTTTTTTTTCTGATGTTATGCATACATTGTTTGTACACATTCAATACATATTCTCTACAAAATTCTAAGAAACGTCCAGATTTCAATTTCGTGTGACTTTCTAATAAACTCTGTTTAAACGTTTTAAAATGAGATTCAACTGTTGCATTACTTTGACGCACAGTTATACCGTTATTTACTTTGACATTCATAATTGGTGTCCATAGCGGTATATATGGTATACATTTGCAAATGAAATCTTCTAAATAAGCCTTATCATAATATTTATTTTTTTCAACATAATCATTAAATGCCTCAAGTTTATCATGTACCTCATTTTTAATAATTTGGAATCTACAGTATATAAGGGACTTGCCACTGTTTGACAAACATAATTCTTTTTCTATTAATTCCAAATGGTCGTCATTCTTTTGGTACATTTCATCATCAACAATTTTACAGCTATTTTCCATAATATTTATAGCGTGCACTAACTCTTTAGTTAACAAAGGTGACAATAATATCAAAGAAAACAGTCTAAACCATTTTTCAATGTCTTTAATAGTTTGCGTATCAAATAATATACAAATCCAATCTATGATGGAATTCTTGATATTTTTAATTTTATCAAGATTTGGTCCTTGATAATATTTATATACGTGATTTGAAATAATTTTTGTGTAATGATTCACACAAATATTAATAATAGTTACGTTCGAATTATCTATATTTTAACACGCTTATATTAGTTTCACCTGTATGTATATATGTATGTATGTTTGTAACTCTCCAAACGCCACGCGTTATCGCATATTCCGTCGTCTAGACTAGACTGTCATAACGCATTCACCCCACCCCACGCCACGCTCATCACACGCCGGCAATACTATTCCTGTATAAATTTATTTTTGGTTATCGTACTCGTATACGCGTGCTTGTCATCAATATTATATATATATATAAACAAATTTTTATTTTGACTGACCATTATCATCCTCGTGTATACGGCTTACGTATATATTCCTACCGCCGTTTATACCTCAGGTATAACGTTAGTCCGACCCGCCCGCCTACAAAACACGGCTATACCTAATGCATGATACGTTTACGTACTTAAGTCGCTTTACATGTATATATATATTCTAATTACTATTAAAATTATATATTAACACACTTTATTCTTATTTAGAGATATAGAACTCATTCATTCCGATTACAAAGGATGAATCCAGTATCGTCATTTTTCGTCACTACCTCCATGTTCCGGGAGTGGGTAATTTACGCGCCTGCTGCTTTCCTTGGATGTGGGAGCCGTTTCTCAGACTCCCTCCCAGGAATCGAACCCTCATTTACCGTTACCCGTTACAACCATGATATTGATAGTAACTACTATCATAACATAAAACTAA